GAGGTAACTTCACCACTGAGCTAAAAGGGTGTCTGGGGGCCATACTCTCGGGGTTTCTCCAGTCTCCTTTAGGCCAGTAAATCTGGTCTTAAAGACTTTCTTGATAAATATATTTCTAAAAGTATTTTCAAATATAACTATTTAGATTAGAAACTAGGAACACTTGTAACTTTAATGCAAACTACACAGATTTTGTAAGCATTTTCTTTGGTCGTTTTTGGATCTGAGGATCAAGTGAAGCAGACTTGTACAAACCCCAGAAATTATAATAATAGTAGGTAAAGAATGATGTACATGGAAATAGGAAAGAGACTTTGTCTGAGGGAGAAGTGAGGAGGAGAGCAGGATGTTTAGCAAGGAATCCCCACTCCCCTTCCATCCCTGTAATCATAATAAATATACTTCTAGTTGATAAACAATTTCTGTATATGTGGCAAAAGGTTGTGTGGTAGGGGAGGTAAAGGGGAATCTGAAATTAAAAGCTTCTTACCTAACTTTAAAGTGAGGTAAGTAAACACCCCAAATTTTGCATTCTTAACTATAGTCCCACCTATACTAATTGAGTGAAATTACCAAAATTTAGAAATTTTGTTATACCATAGATTGTATCATAGTAGAATGCTTTTTACAGGGGTTACAATAGAGGTAGAGATGACTTTTTTGTTATTAGGTTGAACATATAAAATTGCCATTTGGGGTCAGGAAAAAATGGTCAAATATTACCAATTTTATATGATTCAGCCTAGTTGATTAATTTAGATGTACAAATAGAATGTAATCCTGTTATATAGCTCAGTAAGCTAGGTAAAAGTCAAGAATCTAATATCCCAAAGTTTTGTCTTGGTCACAAGAAATCTTGGGAATAGTTTATAAAGAGATTACAGTATAGGAGATTAGTGATTTTTGTGTTAACACTATTTTTTCCTCCCATCAAATACTAATTGCATTCCATAATTAGCTTTTCTAAGATAGACATTTTGTTTAAGTATTTTTCTTTGTCAAAAGTAAAAACATTATAACGGATCAACAGATAACACCAGCTTTTGAATATGATCCCAAAGTAGAGAATAACTTTTTCTTTAGTCTGCTTTACAGCTTCCAAAATTGTAAATTAAAAGCAGAACGTGAGTTGACCCAGGAAGGTTTTTTTTTGGGGGGGGGGAATAGTGTTTCCTCCTTTTCTCTTGGGTGATTTGGCAGCAGCAGTGTTTTAAAGTTGCTGACGTTAGCCAGCTTTTGGGGGACATCAGCCTTTGAATTTCTTTCTTAGATAATCTACCAGTATGTCAGAAGTTCCTCTCTAAGCTTACTGAGGTTTATTTGTTAAATGATATCAAAAGACTATTCAGTAGAAATACGGCTTTGATACACTATAGAAAGGTGAATGAGATCCATAGAATTTCCTTATTTACCCGTGTTTTATTGGGAGTATAATTGGTTTCCTCTATTTTTCAAAAGCATTATAGAAAAGTGGGGCAGAGCCTCTTCAGTTTCAATTTTATTTAAGGTTTTTTGAGAACATGAAGTACTTTCGTTTCACTGCCTATTTCTTGAGTTTCCAGTTGAATAATAGCTTCCAACCAAGATGGATTAACAAGGATTAGATTAGCATCCTGCCTGAAACAACTCAGGGAAAAAAGAGGGGGAAAAATAAATATCAAACAGCTGTTTTCAAGTCACTGGACATCAGGGAATGAAGGACAGTGCTTCCTAAGAGATGGGAAGGAAATAAATGAGGCAATACTGTGATTGCTCTAGTTTACTGCCTTGTAAGAGTTTCTAGGCTGTGTTGCAGTGAGGGCAAACCCAAGTGAACCTGGAAGACTCCCTAAGTTCAGGAGACAAGAGCTTAGAGTCCACAAAGACCAAGGAAACTCAAGTGGGTGTGAGCAAACTTCCATCAGCTGTTTTTTGTAAGTAAAGTTTTATTTGAACACAGCATGCCCTTTTATTTACATATTTTCTATTACCTCTTTTGACCTATAACCACAGATTTAAGTAATAATGACAGAGATCATATGACTGAAATCTGAAAATACTTACTATTTTCCAACTACTGCCCTGGAATTTGCTGGACAGGTTATCAGAGTGGAGAGAGCTGTACTGAGAGAGAATTCTGAAGATCTGCAGAGGGTCCCCTTGTAGCATTTACAGGAATACTGATAGATGTGAGGAAACTACCCAAAGCCGAGGATCAACTGTCTGAAAACCGTGGAGGGCACAGTGCCTGGTGCTCACACGGGGTCAGGTTTCAGTGATACTAAACAGTTGTTATAACTGTATTCCATGTATTAAAAAAGTT